TGGTTAGCCAGAAGATAACGTCGAATCATAACGTAGCCTAACGGAGCGTAGAAAATTGCATGTGAAGGACGACGACCACCATACATTGAAGCAAAAACACAAAAGAAAGATGCGAAGAATGACTAAAAAAAGAACACTTCGCACGAGTTCTCGGTTCCGCAGATTAAGCAGCAAACATGCAAGCTGCCTACAAACAAACATTCGCCCAAAAAGCTACGAGTAAGAAGAGATGCGACTTCATAAAAGCAGAGACGCAAAAAACACACAACAGCTTAAACTCTCGCACAAACCTGTTGGGGGATGAGACTACCCCGATAGGAGTAATCGTCATGCCCACGCCCAAACGCAATCCATCCCGCTCCCGATCCTGCTATCAAGACCGCCGTGTACGCCCGGCAATCACACTGTCGAAAGCAAACTAATCCTACGCACACTTGATGTGTTCCTCTGCATGGAGTCAAATCTTCACGCCCCTTCTGCATTACAAGTGCAATCTACTTTACCCGTGGGGACTGAAGAGCTCAGTTGGTGCACCCATGACCTGTGTTGAAATATGAATCAGACCCAAGCTCGAGTCCAGATGCAATCAAACAAACAGAATAAATTAAATTCATTCTAAACTTCCCAGAAACGGTCAATTCAATCATATGACATCTCAAGGTCGTCGCCATTTGGAGAAAAAACGACAAAAAAAAAAAAAAAAAAACAGAAAAAGACCAATCTTCACCCTCGCGTACACGTTCGAACGGTATGAAAAAAGAAAGAGCAGATCTGCCCCAGCATTCCCTCGCGCACAACTAAGTCTCTCTACGAAAGAAAAACAAAATCGCGCCAATCCGTACAACCCCACCCCAAGCCTCACCCCGACCCAAAGCAACGATCCCGACCGTGATCCCGATCGTCATTTGACCCCCCGACTTAACGGGGACTGGAGCGGCAACGACGCCCATCATTCATGCCAAGAACTCACATTAGGATAAGCCGAGAAAGAGGATTGGACATGGAACACGCCTTGTCGCCCAATGGCCACGTTTTAGATTACACACAGGCAAAATCTTGTCTAGCGTTTGAAATCTCTTTTACCCCAAATAACAAATTTCCCCCCCACATAGTCAATTTCAACCAAACCTTCAAACAAAAAAACGATTCGCACTTCCAAACAAAAAAACGACCGTCGACACGATCCTAACGCCAAGGAACGCCTTGCCGGCACGACGGCCGCGTCTTCAGGATAAGCCAAAAAACGCTCGTCTGGCAATGAAATTTCGGTTTCCCCAAAGTGCAATTTCAACCACCCCCCGAACAAGAGATGATTTCAATGCTACAACGAACAGACAAACGCTATTCTCACATTGAGATCTCTTTCACCAGATAGCAACAATTCCAACCAATCCCCCAAACAAACGTCCCAAAGCAATTCTCTCTCTCTCTCTCTCTCTCGCTCTCGCTCTCTCTTTTACACCACCAAACGAGTACCGAACATCGTCGACGACCTAACAACCATCCAGAGCCAGTCGTTCTGCAAAACATCTTATTAGAGACGGACTAAGAATTTCCCCTAATTGGCAAAATTACGACCTATTAGTTCTCTCAAAATTTCTCAAAATTTCACTGCAAGCACGAGCTCTCTCCAAATTTTCACTGCAAACGAACATCGGCACGGACCTAGCACCGAACCTGTAGTAACGGACGAAGATTCATAGAAAAAACGACATCAAGGTCCCAACGGCAGATCCGGATCCCGTCGCACACCGTGACATAACGTCCTCCCTCACGTTCCAGATTTGCAAAACGAGAGTGGGGATCCAACGCGAGAGACTGGATCCGGACGTCAAGGGGAGATCCTTTTTCCAATGACAGACCCTCACGGGGAGGACTGCCATTCTTCACCCAAATAGAAGAACTGTGGGTGATTAAAACTGAATATGGTGCAACGTTAGGACTAGATACCGCGATAATGACCGGGCGTTCTATTCGGAGTGAAGACGACGATCCACTTCACACAGAAGACCCTAACGCCATGAAGGTAGACTGCCAACAATCTTTTCCTCCCACTCCCGGGCCTGCCGTTTGCAATGCGAAGAGACGTGACCTAAACACGTACGCGGAAAAAAAAGACCCGCTCATGAAATAACGACGGCTGCTGCATCGACTCCAATCTAGCGAACTAGATCACACAACACGTGGCATGACGTCGTACAATGCCGCATCCTGTCCTATCAAACGATGATCGCAAAATGAACCAGAGACATCCTTAACACTAACGTCACGAGCACAGTACCTCCCCCTGTAGCGCACGAGGCCACATGGCGTGACGTCGTACAATACCGCATCCTCCCCTATTTAAACGATCGCACAGCCGGATTCATAACACAAAACCCTAATAGGGAGACCCGTAACACTAGCGTCAGCAGCAGATTGCCTACCCCTGTAGCGCACGGGGCCACATGACACGTGGCCTGACGTCGTATAATCCCCGCATCCTCGCCTATTAAACGATCGCACAACCGGATTCATAACAGAAACCCCTAATAGGGAGACCCGTAATACTAGCGTAAGCAGCAGATTGCCTACCTACCCCTGTCGCGCACGAGGCTACATGACACGTGGCATTACGTCGTATAATCCCGCATCCTCGCCTGCCAAACGATCTTACAGCCAGGTCCGTAACGGAAATCCTAACGGACACCGTTACTGCTAACGTTACCAGCACAGTACCTCCCCCAAATATAACGGCCAATAATCACGACTTGACGTAATCAAACTCTAATCCGTTCCTCTAAGACCATGCACGATATGGGATGGTATGTCCGGGAGAAGAAGAGGAGAGAGCCATTTCTCAGCGACAGAAAGACGACCTAGATTAACAGATGCAAAAATAGATCAAAAAATAAAACGAGACGACAACACATTTTTACGGGGTTCCAATCATTGATTCAGAGAACGACGCCCATCGCCCTCCCCTTTTTAAATCACTCGTGATCGCTACACATGCCCCATCCCTTCTGGAACGACGGCACTGGACGCCAAGCTTTCCCTTTGCATTGCTATATACTACCGTCTGGCACCGGAATAAAACCAAGCGCCCTGTCATTATAGCCGTGTTTAGGGTAATTTATAGATCTCCATACGGCGGCAACAAGGACCGAGGCGTTCTATTTGGGTGAAATCGATAGAGACGGTACATAATACTTCAGGTTTCCATAGACTGATTTCTACGCAACGCTCGCCTTCAGCCGAGCGCAAAAACACATCCTCGCTCTCTCTGAACACGTGTCCACGCTCTTTCACTGAAGAGAGAAAAAGACATTTTCCGCTTCGCGAGAAGAGAAGAGAAGATAAGAGATTGCTAACATCCACAAAAGAACCCATCATCATCCCATCATGATTTCAAACACGTCGATATACGCAATGGAGTCGGAAAGAGGAAAAGAGAATTCTTGGACACATCCACAAAAGAACCCATCATGATTTCCAATCAAACCCACACCATGAGTTCAAACGCGTCTCTATACATGCAAGAAAGTGTATTTATTGACATTCAAATAGAGAGCATTTTTTAGGGTTTCCAGGGCCACAGCCTCGGTACGCAAAGAAGGCAAAACCACATAGAAAATCCCAATGAAGCATATTCTTTCATTGCTATTTTAGGTCAAACAACAAGACAAGAGGTCAACCATAAATTTTACACCTACTGAGAAAACTCCCTAGTGGCACATTATTAACAATATTGACCCCTCTCCATCACCCTTACGCCCTGGCCTAACTCGCTGCCCCTTTTCCCGCTGTAAGCCTCGCCCGTTCAGAGCTCCGCCTGCATCCGACCACTCTCTGCCCACTCAACTTCTCGCCGGGTTACGTTTCCCTGCCCTGCCTCCCTCTTTCACTCCCCCTACACTCTTCCCGGTGTAAGCCTCGGCACTTCACAGCTCCGCCTGCATACCGCCCATCTCTGCCATCATAACTTCTCTCAGGGTTACGTTTCCCTGTCCTGCTTCTCTCCTTCACTCCCCCTGGTCCCCCTCCCCCCTCCCCCCACGCGCTGCTCTCCTGTTTCCCCTCCATCTCTCCATCACCTTTCTTCAACTCCCCTCATACACAGCTACTTCCATCTTTCCTAACGCGACCTAATCTTCATATCCACTCCTCTTGGCCCCAATCCTCCCTCTTTAGGTTTATCCCGATGCCGCCAGTCTCCCCTCTGCTACCCGCAGTTATCGCCTGCTTTCTTTTCCAGCCTCCTTTTGGACTCCGTTATCTCAAACCTTCTCCAGCTCCAGCTTTCCTATTTTGTCTCCTCTCCTTCTCCGATGATCGCCATTCCTTGCCATAACAAGGGACCCCCAAACCTTCCCCCAGCTCATTCCCCAGCTCCCTACCCTTGCTCTCTGCCTTGCACTCTTCCTCTTCAGGCGCGTACCAGATACTCGAGACAACAGAATCCACTGCCATTCTGAATCCCTGATCTTTTCAGCCCCTAATCACTCGCTAGGGTACCGTTTGCTGTCCATCGCCCAAGCCATCTTCATCCTCCTCCTCGTCACTAGCTTCTACTGCCTCCTCTCTTTTCCCTTACCTACCCCTTTGGGAATTCTGCCTCGGTGGACTCGCCGAGATCCCCTTCCGTGGGACCACCCCTTCGCCACGTCTCACTCTCCTTCGCCCTCTTCCTGTCACGCCGTCCCCTTCCCCCACTGCCGCCGTCCATTCTCTGCCTCTTCTCTGCCTCATCTTACACTTAATTTTCTCCTGTTTACCGCTCCAGACCTACTGTCTTCTTCTCCTCTCTTCTGCACTCTTCACCCTCCCTGTCATCCCAGCGGCGCACGTACGACAAACGTTTTACGAATACTTCTGCTCCACACCTGCCCATTCTCTTCCCTAACATATGGCTCACATGCACACGGCCCTGCTGAGGAACACCAATCACATTTACATCCTTTAAATGATAATAACACCGATCGAAGCCTCTCACAAATCCGCTAAGAAACGATGATAACTAAGGGGTAGCAAATTGATTCGTTGTTCCTTTCACATGGCATTCTCTCTCTCTCTCTCTCTCTCTCTCTCTCTCTCTCTCTCTNCTCTCTCTCACCACACACACACAACTCACACACGCCCACACGCACAAACGTCACGTTGACCCGCAGACACGCACACACAAAAACATAGAGATCGAACACACGCACGCATGCGCGCAGACGTAACATCCACCCTTACAAGGGCGCGACAACAAACGCTAGACGAACATGGAAACCATTCGAGAAAACACCAGCGGCATGAGAGAATATACCATAGATAAAGCACGCCAAACCATGAAGCAAGCAGTAGGCAAAACGGGATCAAAGAGGAACTGGAAGCGAGGGAGGAAAAAGACGCTGAAATACAGATAGCATGTGATAGAGAGCGACAGACAGGGAGTTGAGAAATGGGAAACTGAATAGCCACCAGTAGAAACGAGAGCAACCCGGGGTACTGGATATGGGCCGAAAAGATAAAAAGAAGGAGAGGCACAAGCACGGCACGCATAAGAATAGGAGAAAGGGAAGATCGACGCCGTGAAGATGCGCCGACCAAAGCGGGCGGAGAAGTCCACAAACAGGCACACAGAACGGCGACAAAACAAGACCGTCTACAGCTTATCCCTAGGGAAAGAACGAAATCCAGAGAGAGGATCCAACAACAAAAGCCGATGCGGGAGATTCAAACACGACAAGTAGGACATGCGGTGGGCACAAGAGTTAAAGATAAAGGACTTGACAGCTGGAAAACCCATTTCACGAAAACATGTTTCTTCAGTGACAAAACAAATGCTTCCACACATAGACGTTGTCCACAAATATCTTTTCGAAAAAACTTCTCCACTACAACCTCATACAATTTTTTTGAACCGTGCACCTTCCTGACCATTACGCACTAGGCGCATAGCCAATTCTCACGTGCAAGAAAACCTCACCGTAAGAGAGTAGACGTCAACAATTATAACCATCAGTACAGAACTCTCGTTACCCTAAGTTTCCGCCGTTAGACAACAAACCAGCCAGTGACCTTTTCATGTACCTGCTGCTGCTCCATACTCGTCCACCGCCCCCCCTCCCTCTTCCTCTGTTACCCTCCCTCCCCCTCAAGAAAGGACAGCCGTCCAAATCATATCCGTCATCCAATTACAGCACACCACATCTGAACCACTCGTCACACGTTTCCATGTCCGCATGGCAGGACGCCTGTTCTCTCTCTCTCTCTCTCTCTCTCTCTCTCTCTCTCTCTCTCTCTCTCTCTCTCTCTCTCTCTCTGTGTCTCTCTCTCTCTCTCTCTCTTTCTCTCTCTCTCTCTCTCTCTCTCTCTCTCTCTCTCTCTCTCTCTCTCTCTCTCAAGACAACCCTTACCCTTGCCTCCTCCGTTATGCAGCTGAACAAGGGACTTGAACAGAGGAAGAAGTGGAAGAGGATGCACGAGCATCAGTGATTCACGTGTACCCCGCTCACTTGCGCGTAACCTTTCTTTGGGCCACCGACGACTTAATGCCCTTCCTTGCGGCGATTTTCGTCTCACGCGCCTCGCTCAAGCTCCTATGAATCCGCGACAGCCTTGCAAGCGCGGCGCGCTTCAGATCCGGTCTGTAGTGATTATCTGACACTTGGCTCTTAACCACCTTGACCATCCTCTGGAACCCCGTCTTCATCACAGTGGTGTTGACTCTCTTCTTCGGAAGGCTTTTCTTCCTGGTCTTCGTCGTCGTGAGAACGATGTTGCAGTCGTGCTCACCGCCGGGGGCGGGGGCAATGCCCACCGTCTTCGTGTTGGACAATCCGGAGTACTTGTGCGTGTTCACATTGAACAGATTGTTCGGCTCTCTGGAGAACTGGATTGATGCGGAACAGTTGCCATTCTGTTTGATCACAAAGCGGTTGGACTGCTTCAGAAGAAGCCACATAAGGTCATCGGACACAGCCGTCGTTGGGCGCACGGGAGCCATCGCCACAAGGATCTGCTAGCTCGCCGCGCTCACGAAAGGCAAATCTACTAGCTACGGCGATGGCGGCGGACGGAAACGACCGGCCGCTACAGAAACCCCACGCCAACACACCGAAAACGAAAAGGACATGAAAAGCAGAGGGCCCGGTTTATCAAAGGAGTCTCAGAACCCTTCGCCGACTTGGCTGGAGTGAACCAATGACCACCGCTGATTCCTGTAGACGAGACTCACCGCCTCGGTTTCACACTCTACTAAACCTAGTAAAAAAAAAAAAAAAAACCAGTAACGGTATTGGACCACGACGACTCCTCCATGTTCCAAGGAGGACAGCGTAACTGTCCTACCGGGTAGCGTCTGGGGACTAAACCGAAACTTGCCTCATAGCCAGTCCCCAATGTTCTACAGCCCGTCAGGGGTGCGTTTCCCCCCCCTGAGACATTTCCCCCCCCTAGAGACATTTTCGTCGTCCTTCGTTATTTATACGGGTCGTTGATTTGGGCTCTTTTGGTCGTTGGAAGGTTCGAAAAATGCAGGCAGGTGGACGCACGACACTTTGGGGGGGGGTGGCAGTGGTGGCAGTTTGTTTGAAAAATGCGGGACCGGTAGCTGCCCGTGCGACCGCGCGCTGGGTTTTGGTCCAAACGGTGGCAAAGCAGCGGCAGGGTGAAACTTTGGGGGGGGGTGGCAGTTTCTTTGAAAAATGCGGGACCGGTAGCTGCCCATGGGACCACGCGTTGGGTTTCGGTCGAAAAGGCGGCGAAGCAGAGGCAGGGTCGAAAGTGGAGAAGTCTGAATCGGAAAGGGTGCGGTCTTGGCCGCAGGTTGAAACGACACACCTGCATTGCATTTGCCAATGCAAACAGATGTGTCTGAACGTGGACGTATTGAACATCCCACACGTTCAACGCCCGATTCACAGAGTCACATGTGCCCATTTTGCTCGTTGTCTGCGTGCCATCTCTCTCTCTCTCTCTCTCTCTCT